GCGTACTTCTGCATATCCAAGATCTTGATAACTTCCTCGACGTAATCATCCTTTTCTTTCTTCGAGACAGAAGAAGGTTGTCTCAAATAAGCAGAAAACCTCAAAGCTTCACGTACTGTTGCAGTACTTAAGTGCAAATCTTGCTGCTGGACATAACCGGTGGATCTTTGGAAAGAAGAATCTCTCAGTTTGCCATTAACAAACATACTACCTGTGACAACACCCATAGTGACACGATTGGCAAGAACATCCAACAAAGTGGTCTTACCAGCACCGGAGGCACCCATCAGCGCAGTCAACGTACCAGGCTTAACCCAACCGTCAACACCCGAAAGAATCTCACGCTCTTCAGATTTAATCTTTATAGTGTAATGAACATCTCTCCAGTGGAAGATGTCCTTGCCAGACTCTAATGCATCAACTTTAACCTCCTCCTCCTCCGGTTGTTGTGTAATATCACGTTCTTTACCAGATTCCAAATCATTGAGTGCCTTATCCTTCTTTATGCGTCTCAGAGTGGACCATTGGAACAATAAAACCTCACCTTTCTGCTTTGCAGATTCGTTATATTCCGAGAATACCATATAAACGACCAAGAAAACAACGAGGAACGCAATTAGAATACCAACATTTCTCCACTTGTGTGAATTTGAGTAGTCATAAGCCAATTGGATGTAGACGCTACCACTTACAGTTGTTTGACCAGAAGTAGCGCCAACTGCATTGCAAATCCAGGACTCTGGTGGTAAATTAGGAAACTCTTCCGGACTTCCAGGTATATAGGAACTGCATTGGAATTCACGGTTGCTGAATTCATTTGCCATCAATGATTCAAACGAATAAGCCAAAGGGTTTAGATAATTGATCCATCTACACCATCCAAGCATATATGTTGTTGGAATGGTGAACCCAAGGAACATCACGAGGGCAAGTAAAATAATATGCGCTGGCACTAAGGCCTGGGCAAGTGTTGAAGACATGGAACCAATCAATCTGAAAGCATGTGACATGGTAAAAGTACTCAAGATATTAACAAACAAGTAGAAGAAAAACCGACCTGGATTTCTTCTGAAGTTCACCATGAAGTAAAAAATTAAATTGAAACACAAGGCAGTGAGTAACTTGAAAGGAGTCTGGGATATAACAGATGCCAGGGCATCAGCAGAAGGATGGTAAAGTGCAAACTGCTTATGCTTTTCGATAATTGGTCTAGCCTCGAAAAGAGACATGATCTCCAAGAAAGAAGCAAAACTGTTGAACAAGACGGCCATAAACATAGCAGCACCTCTGTAGTAAAAGGAAGCAGTATCATCTTGCAAGTTGTAGAAGATAGAACAAAGCACCAAAGCCATTAAAGAATTGGAGAGCACAGAGAAAGCATGGAAAAAGATATCGTTTCTTATTCTCTGGAATTCACGAGTCAACAAATATCTAACTTGCATTGGGAAAGAAACCGTATATGAAGACGATTTTCTCATATGCTTAGACTGTCTCGAGTGCTTTGCAGAAAGAATAGCATCTTTGGTAGCAAGTGAGTGGGCTTGTTCTAAGCTCTGGTCAACTTCCCTCATCAAGGTTGCATATTCAGGCGAAGCTTTCCAGTACTTCTCAAAGTCCTTTGCTGTTTTAGGTACTTCATCTTCATATCCTTTTCTAGCAACACGTTCCCTCGGAGAGGTAACGGATGTTAAGAAATCAGCAGTGGTTTGACGTTGCGGACAATCCCATCCCATGTTGATAAAATACCTTCTAGCCTCATCTGCTCTTCCGAAGTAGATTTGATGACCATCATACAGCACAGAAACCTTATCAAACAAGTCGTAAGCATCCTGGGAACACTGGTAAATGGCAATCAGTGCTGTTGTATCCAAGACATCGGCCGATGTCCTCAAGGCTCTAATGAACTCCAATGCTGTAGCTGCATCCAGTCCTCTCGTAGCATTATCCCAACATTGCAATTTTGCACCAGCAAGTGACACCTCTGCAATGGAAACCCTTTTACGTTCACCACCAGAGACACCACGGACCAACGCAGACCCAACCTTGGTATTCTTTGTATGAGACAATCCATAGGTAGACATATAGACCTTGGTCAATGCTGCAGAATAGTCCTCTCTAGAAACACCTGGGATTCTATTTTGGGGCGTTCTAAACTTTGCAACCGTATACAGGGTCTGCCAAACGGTTAAGTGAGGGAAATGGATGTCAGCTTCGGCGTTGTACACGATTTCACCTCTGAAATTGTTTTGGACCTCCTTTGGGGTCAGTCCATCATAGGATATCTGTGATTCAGGCGCAATATCAAATCCATGAGTGTTGGAAGCAATAGTCTTAAGCAAAGTAGTACAACCAGAACCAGGTCTACCCAGGACAACGACAACCTCACCAGGTTTGATAATACCGTCCATGGACTTGAGGATATCGAATTGAGCTCGGTCTTTAGCGGCCCCAGTTCTCAAAAACCTCTTATAGAATCCAGTGACCATCTTTAGAGGTGAGTTTATGACATTATTCTGATAATCAGCGTCGGTAGCTTCGCCAGAGGCCCTCAGGTTCTTGAAAGTGATACCTAGCGAGTAATTGTTGTAGTGTTCTGGATCTTTATCCATAAGAGCTTTAAAGTTCTTGATCCAGTACGGGGAAGAGAACTCTTCACTGTTCGGATCCAACCTTGGATCCAGCAGCTCAACATCCACCATCGGATTCACACCAGGAGCAATAGTCGATACTCTGGATAGCCCATCAGGTTCTTCAGCAACATCAACTTTATTGGACTCCCCACCGAGGGAGAGATTAGTCCATTGTCTTGCCAGATCCTGTACCTCGTTCCGGATCCCTTCATCAAAGCCATGGTACGAGCCGCTTTCTTCATCGGACGTGTCCAACCTTTTATCGTAAGACATCATTGCAAACTCCCCTGTTTACCTTGAATGAGTACGAGGCAGAAGAAAAGAGTAGGCCAAAAAAGAGGCGCAGGAGACAGATATATACTAAAAACAGAATATGATTTGACTTATGAACCAGTTTTGAACAGGTGGCGGAACAACTAAGCCCTTATGGGTTTGTTGTGGTTCGTATTTTACATGTTTTGTCATCATAAATTGCTCAGCCAATGAGAGCGGCCCCACCAGACGCAAGGATTCTCGGCCACGGGGTTCGGCCGTCGGACTCTCGGTCTTTTACCAAATCCGGAAGTCAGGACCTTTTATATGCGGCTGAAAACACCGACCAAGGAAAGTCCGCCTTTCGGTTTCCATGGCTACTGAAGCCCAATTCTCAATTTCAAAGACTGGTGTTGTGACTCTGCTGGGAGCACTAGAGGAAGAAGTAAGAATGGAAGCTTGATGAACAGGATCCGAGATGTATCAAGAGCCCACTTTAAGTTTTCTCCAGTTGGAGAGTCAAGAGCTTTGTTGCGATGCGTATATGTTAAGCTGTAGAAAGTTGCTTTTTTTGAATATATACGCCCAGCACTTTATGACCCACTTATTGGTTGGGAAGGAGGATAAGACGCCAAAGATGTGTTCTGAGTGCCACCTGACTGTATTTTACTTCAACTGGATTCATCATTATTTGCACTGGAAGGGTTTGAATACGCGCAAAAAGCGTGCATAAGCGAACACCCACTACACATGGTGATACCCACGAGCCCATAACCCCAGTTCATCGAAATCAGCAGAGATTTATATTTATTTCATGAATACCAATTGGTTTTGGAAGGGACCAAGAAGCATATTCCTCATATTTTCATAAATTCGAACACAGCGAGAATAGAATCTTGCTGGGCATGTGTACTGTTTCCAAAATACTCTTAATATGCAAGCATCAGTCCGCTTAGCCACCCCTGACAGAATTGATCTCTATTCTGGAACTATATTGTGCGATCCGCAGTCGCTTGTAAGAATCCACGTCTCGATATAACATAGATCTTAGCACATATTCAATGGCCAAAAAAGAGGAGCTACTATTACAAAACAACTACCATAAGACAAGATGATATTTAAGCTTTAATAAAGGTATAAGATTTGAAGTAGAAAAATAAGGAAGAGATTCTTCAGGGTATTTTAGGAACTCTTCTCCTTCTGTGTTGAAGGTTTAGAAGACGCTTGCTCTTTCACCCTACCACTCTTCTTTGGAACCCTTGCCAACCAGTAGAGGAAAATGGCAGCAACAACATTGAAAATCATATAGACCCACAAGAGACCCAAATTCCTCCATTTTTCACCATATGAGATACCGACAGAGTGTAGCCAGTCATCTGTACTACTCAGAGGACAGAATTGACATTGATCAGCGGCATTTGGGTTAATAAGATAACCAGTTCCGGCAGCTTCGATGTAGGACTCAAAATACTCACCACAGCTGGAGACACCAGGTGGTGGAGTAACAACTCTGTACTCGTTCTCAGCACAGATAACATCGGCATGTGCAACTGCATTAGCCAGGTATCCAGAGACAAAATATGTCATCGGTGATACCCTATACATGAAGATCCAGAAACCAGGTAAAATATCTGGACTCACCATAACACCACAGAAGGTAATACATAAGGTGAAAAACAGATAAGCAATTGTACCAGCCATATCTTCGAGACGAATTGGAGCAATACACATATGTGCCATCGTACCAATATAGACAAAGAACATCACACAGAAGAACCAAGCATATGCACCTCTCTGGTTCACTTCAGAAGTACTATGAGAGTTATGGTAGAAACCAGCAGGGTAGTACCAGCAGAAGAAAGCAATGGTTCCAATCAATGCATTCCAAGGAATTTCAGAAACAATTTCAGAAAGCATAAAGGCCTTCCAAGAAAAGGTCTTTGAAGGACGTTCTCTCATCTCGTAAAGATCTCTAGCTGCCACATACGTTGGCAACATCTGTTGTAGAAGTGGGTTGAAGATAGTGATGAACATAAGAACAGAGAACATTTGGTTTTGAAGACCTTGCATAGTTGCATTGGCATTGAAGAAGACAAAGCCAATGTAAATAGAAGGAATGATGGAGAGACACAGCTTGGACCAGATATAAGATGGAGTTCTAAAAGTTTGTTGGAAAACTCTTTCTGTAACAAGCCAGAACTGCTTATAGAATGGAGCTGCAAACTCATCATTACCAATGGACTCATCCTTTGGGAGTTTCACCAATTCCTTCTCCATATGATCTAGCTCTGCCAAAACAGCCTTACGTTCATCAGATTCTAACCAGACCTGGTGATAGTCCTGGTTTGCATGAGAACCAGGAGCTGCACCAATGACATGAAGCATCCACTCTGCTGGATTAGCCTCTGGTGGACACTTTGGCGAGCCATGGCTCTCAAAGTAATCAATAAGGGTTTGACAGTTCTTACCGAGGTCACCAAAGTAGACCGTACGACCACCTCTAGCCAAGAAGAGAAGTCTGTCAAACTCTTGCATCAAGATAGCAGAAGGCTGATGAATGGTACACAAGATAGCTTGGCCGTGATTGGCAAGCTTTCTCATCAACTGACAAATGGACCAAGCAGTTTGGGAATCCAAACCAGATGTTGGCTCATCGAAGAACAACAGAAGCTTTGGCTTAGCAGCAAGCTCAACACCAATGGTCAATCTCTTTCTCTGTTCAACGTTCAAACCCTCACCAGCAACACCAACAACAGCATCAGCATACTTCTGCATATCCAAGATCTTGATAACTTCCTCGACGTAATCATCCTTTTCTTTCTTCGAGACAGAAGAAGGTTGTCTCAAATAAGCAGAGAACCTCAAAGCTTCACGTACTGTTGCAGTATCCAAATGCAAATCTTGCTGTTGGACATAACCGGTGGATCTCTGGAAAGAAGAATCTCTCAAGTGACCATTGACAAACATGTTACCTGTGACAACACCCATAGTGACACGACTGGCAAGAACATCCAACAAAGTGGTCTTACCAGCACCGGAGGCACCCATCAGCGCAGTCAACGTACCAGGCTTAACCCAACCATCAACACCAGCTAAAATCTCTCTCTCCTCTGTCTTGATTTTCACAGTGTAATGGACGTCTCTCCAATGAAAGATATCCTTACCAGCTTGCAGTGCTTCGACGTTAACATCATCACCTTCATCATTCTGTTCAGTTACATCACGTTCCTTACCTGCCTCGAGATCATTTGAAGCTTTATCCTTTTTGATCTTTCTAAGAGTAGACCATTGAAACAGCAAGACTTCACCCTTTTGTTTCGCAGATTCGTTAAACTCAGCAAAGAGCATATAGACAGCCAACAAAACAACAAGGAAAGCGATCAAGATACCAACATTTCTCCACTTATGACCATTGGAGTAATCATATGACAAGCTCAAGTAGGCATCACCACTAACAGAGTATTCACCAGCAACTGCACCAACAGCATCACACACCCAAGCAGCAGAAGGCCATTCTGGGTGTTCATTTGGATTACCAGGAATGAACTGTGTGCAGTCAAATTCTCGATCGTGGAATTCATTGGCCATCAACGCTTCAAAAGTGTAAGCCAACGGATTCAAATAGTTCATCCATCTACACCAGCCAAGCATATATGGTGTTGGAAGAGTGAAACCAAGGAACATAACCAACCCAAGTAAAATGATGTGAGCGGGAACCAACGCCTGAGCCAAACTATTTGACATGGAACCGATCAATCTGAAAGCGTGAGACATGGTAAATGTGGCCAGGATGTTCACGAAGAAGTAGAAGAAGAAACGACCAGGATCTCTTCTCAAATTGACCATAAAATAGAACACCAAGTTAAAGAACAGAGCTGTTATCATTTTGAACGGAGTCTGGGATATGACAGATGCCAGGGCATCTGCAGCAGGATGGTACAGTGCAAATTGCTTATGCTTTTCGATAATTGGTCTTGCCTCGAAAAGAGACATGATTTCCAAGAAAGAAGCAAAACTGTTGAACAAGACGGCCAAAAACATAGCAGCACCTCTGTAGTAAAAGGAAGCAGTATCATTTTGCAAGTTGTAGAAAATAGATGATAAGACGAGGGACATAAGAGAATTGGACAACACAGAGAAAGCGTGGAAGAAGATATCGTTTCTGATTCTCTGGAATTCACGAGTCAACAGATATCTAACTTGCATTGGGAAAGAAACAGTGAAAGGAGAGGACTTTCTCATGTTCTTAGACTGTCTAGCATGCTTAGCGGAGAGGATAACATCTTTGGTAGAGCTCTGAGAGGTTTGGTGTAAATTTGCATCAATTTCCTTCATTAATTCTGCATACTCTGGAGATGCTTTCCAATAGGCTTCAAACTCTTTACCGGTCTTAGGAACTTTGCTTTCATATCCTTTTCTGGCAACACGTTCCCTTGGGGAGGTAACAGAAGTCAAGAAGTCGGCAGTGGTTTGACGTTGTGGACAATCCCAACCCATCTTGATGAAATATTCTCTTGCCTTGTCACCTCTTCCAAAGTAGATCTGGTAACCTTCATACAAGACCGAGACTTTATCAAACAAGTCATAAGCTTCTTGAGAACATTGGTAGATGGCAATCAATGCTGTTGTATCCAAGACATCTGCAGATGTTCTCAAGGCTCTAATGAACTCCAATGCTGTAGCTGCATCCAAACCTCTTGTGGCATTATCCCAACATTGTAGCTTAGAACCGGCCAGTGACACCTCAGCAATAGAAACTCTCTTTCTCTCACCACCGGAAACACCACGAACCAATTCAGAACCGACTCTGGTGTTCTTAGTATGGGTCAAACCATATGTAGCCATGTAAACCTTCGTCAATGCAGCTGCAAACTCTTCTCTCGAAACACCCGGGATTCTGTTTTCAGGAGTTCTGAACTTTGCAGCGGTATACAATGTTTGCCAAACGGTCAAATGAGGGAAATGGATATCAGCTTCTGCGTTGTAAACAATCTCACCTCTAAAACTCTTGACAACCTCTTGCGGTGTCAATCCATCATAAGTGATCTCTGACTCTGGTGCGATGTCAAAACCGTGGGTATTGGATGCAATTGTCTTAAGCAAAGTGGTACAACCAGAACCAGGTCTACCCAGGACAACGACAACCTCACCAGGTTTGATAATACCATCCATAGACTTGAGAATATCGAATTGAACTTTCTCCTTTGCTGAGCTTGTTCTGAAATACTTCTTGTAGAGACCACCGAACAGCTTGGCTGGAGCATTGACAACGTTGGACTGGTAATCTGCGTCTGTAGCCTCACCGTATGCTCTTAGGTTTTTATATGTGATACCTAAGGAATAATTGTTGTAGTGCTCGGGATCCTTATCCATAAGAGCCCTAAAGTTCTTGATCCAATAACGGGAAGAAAAGTCGCTGCTGTTTGGATCCAATCTAGGATCTAATTGCTCAAGACCGGTAATTGGATCAACACCAGGAGCGACAGTAGAAACTCTTGATAGCAAATCACTGTCCGCCTTGTTCTGGCATGATGAGCTATAAGATTTGTTTGTGAGTATTCTGGCAAGGTCTTGCACTTGTTCTTGAACGTCTGCATCGAAACCTCTGTAAGTGTTGACACCATCGTTGGTGTCAATACTGTCTTCAGAAGATTTCTCAGTACTTGACATTTCTTTCCTCGACTGGTTTATAGAAGAGCGCTACAATCACGATACCGAAAAAAAACTTGTTTTTCCAATTACATTTAGTTCTTTATATAAAGTGAGCAAGGTCCACGGCCCACGGCTAGTTCATCTCTTTAATCATCTGTGTGTAAGGTGATGATACCCGACGTTGTTTAGATTTTACTCTTCTAAATGTATTGGCCAGTTCGCCCAATAATAACATGTAGGATTTAATGTCGGTGATATGCACGCTGTATCTTCTTTAAAACCGTAAAACCCGAGCTCTGTCCGAGCTCTGTCCGCGCTATGTCCGCACTGTGTCCGAATTGAGACGAGTCTCTAGATTGATCAATTCAATGGGAAAGAACAATAGTTGTGGTTATTTAATATATCATGATATCAGCTTAGTGTTCCTTAAATCACCTTGTGTCTAATCTGCTTCAATCATTTTAGAGCCCATAAATGATAGAAAGAGAGAGAACATTTGCCACGGCGTAGACGGCATCATGAATCATGAAGAACTACGTATTAATAACACACACACGCATACAAAAAATCACTGTAAACTTTCAGTGGTTGTTCATTTTGATAAAATTTTGTTCCTCTGCTTTCGTATAAACAAAAAAATAATAGTTCCAGACCTTTTGAACGCCAAGGATGGGATGGTAGTTGAGTTCATCTCAAACGTACATTGAAATTACAGCTATGCTTTGTTTACACTGTAAAGGGAATTTGAAAACATCGACTTCCAGCAAGCAAATTTGATGTTGGATTCTGATTACGTAAAACATAGAAACTGTGTACTTAGCGGGAACTTGGAGGATCAAAGGTATTGGAAGGGTCCAGTTGATTTTTTCGATTCAAGATGTTCTACCAAGCAAGAAGGGCCATTAAAACGGAATGATCTAAGCATCCGTATGTCAACTCATTACCAGATCTCGTCAAAGAGCAACATAAGAAAAGAGTTTTAAAGCTACAGTTAGATGTCAAGCCGGGGTCCCCTTCAGCTCTCAAAATATCTGGAACGGAAGTCTTCGGAATATCTGGCCATCCGAACTTGCTGGTGAAAAAAGACTATCAAGCGGACAGATAAAAGACCCGTTTCATGCCATGCGAAGGGAATACCAGGTACAAGTAAGGAATTACCATAAAAAATTATACTCCAGTCCTGTTGAACCATGTATATATTAAAAAGAATGAGGGGTCCAGATCCGATGGAGTTGCGGAAAAAAGGGAATACCCATTAGTCAAAAGTCTACTCCGTTCTCAAATAAATGTTGAGATGTCAGCCTTTCAGTTCATGACGTCTCATAGCAGTGGGTTTACAAATATCCCCTCCTCCTTCGTGATACCGTACTTCGCCGTACTTCGATCATATTACTGGTTTATTTTTGCACTCCAATAAAATGAATACCGCCAATAATTGAAAAAAATTCTTCCACACAGCTTGATGAGCCTGGATTCTCAACGATTCTTCCGTTGGCGAACCGAAAACCTACTTTCTGGACCCTATTCAAACGTATTTGAAGATAATAAATACATGGCCACATCAATGTCACCATGCAGCGAAAATCTCTGTGACTTTGAGATTGCTCGTAGGATAAAAGCACCCGCAACAATTAACAACTAAGGGCATACAGAATTGATCACCTCAAACAACAAAATCGGATTGGAATAAACACCACCGGAACAGCGTAACCTGGATAAGTATTGATATAGACGCTATACATATATCTTGGAAGCTCCCTTAAACCCGTCAACTTCCCATACATTGTGCAAACACCGGTAACTTATTTCAGTTAAGCGCACTCTTTAAGTCCATTATTTCCCCACTATGGGTTAGTTTCAAGACATTGAGATCATCCTGTCAAGCCAAGTACCAATGCCTCGAGTATAAGCATATATAAAAGAGTCCATTCCCTTCTATTAGTGTAGCTCGATGTAGGAGAGAACCTTCTCGACCCTGATAAATAATTTCGTAAACAATGTCTACTGTTCTCGTCACGGGTGCATCAGGTTTCCTCGCTCTCCACATCGTTGGACAACTCTTGCAAAAGGGGTATAAAGTTGTTGGCTCAGTGAGATCAGTTTCCAAAGCTGAAGAATTGGGGTTCGAGTTTTCTCAAAAATTAGGTCACAAGGCTGACAACCTGGTCTTCTCCATTGTTGAGGATATTGCTGTGTCAGATGCATTCGATAAAACTTTCAAGTTGCACCCAGATATTAGCTACGTTCTTCATACAGCTTCTCCGTTCACATTGGGACAAACGGATTTTGAGAAGTCTTACTATGATCCAGCTTTGAAAGGAACATTCGGTGTCTTGAATTCCATTAAACGGTATGGACCAAAAGTTTCCAAAGTTGTTGTGACGTCCTCTTTGGCAAGTCTCATGAACTTTGACAAGCTTACTGATCCGACATTTATCCATAATGAGACAGTTTGGAATCCATTGACAAAGGATAAAGTTCAAGATAGCGTTGCTGCCTATATCTTATCCAAAAAGCTTGCAGAGGAGGCTGCTTGGAACTTTGTCAGAGATAACGATGTCAATTTTTCGGTGACAACTATAACACCAGCGTACATCTTGGGCCCGCAGTACTTTGATAAAAATGCTGGAGCAAAGAAGTTAAACCAGTCCAATCAATTGATTACAAACATCCTGGACTGGAACCCTAACCAGCCTTTTGTCAACAACACACGCACAGGTTTATGCGTTGATGTTCGTGACGTAGCTGCGCTCCACATCATTCCATTGGAGAAGCCTGGGGTTGAAGGTCACCGTTTATTCCCAGCTTCTGGTTTATTCACCGACCAGGACATCCTGAACATCATCAACGAGAACTTCCCTCAATTGAGGCTTCCAACAGGTGAACCAGATGACACTGAGAATCCGTTTGGTTACTCAAATGAGAAGACTGTGGAGCTGGTTGGAGGTTACAACTTCATCCCACTAAAGAAGCAAGTTGTTGATACCGTTCAACAAATCTTGGATGCCAGAGCTGCTAAGTGAGCTACATATGATTCAATAGGTATCTTATGTATTATTCTTCCAATACAAATGACTGTTCCAAAGTTCTCTTGAAGATCACAAATCAGTAAACAGACCATAGCAAACCTCAGCCACACCGTGAACATCACCTCACAATTTCCGTTAAAACCGGTTCTCCGCCATACATTGTGGCCCTACTATATGGTACAATTTTTCTTAGCTCCGCTAGTTCCATCATTATAACCGTTAACTTCGAAGCACAAGCAACCTTCACTCTATGGAACAATAGGTATATATACCCCTTGATGTGTTCCTTTTGGACATCCCTGAGGTATTCTGAAGATACCATCGATACACAGACAACTTCTCCATATAAAATATAACAATGTCAACTGTTCTCGTCACCGGTGCTTCAGGATTTCTTGCCCTTCACGTTGTGGGCCAGCTCTTGGAAAAGGGCTATAAGGTCATCGGCTCTGTTAGATCTCAAGACAAGGCCAATAAACTTGGATCCGAATTCCATAAGAAGATTGGCTCCAAGGCTGATAACTTGTCATTCACAATTGTTGAAGATATAGGCGAAACAGGTGCATTTGATGAGACTTTCAAATTGCATCCCGAGATTGAATTTGTTCTTCACACTGCATCGCCATTCACCCTTGGATACACTGATTTTGAGAAGTCTTATTACATTCCGGCTGTTAACGGTACCCTTGGTATCTTGAATTCAATTCAGAAATACGGCTCAAAGGTTTCCAAAGTTGTTGTGACCTCGTCCATGGCAAGCATAATGAATTTTGATAAGCTTACCGACTCGTCCTTTATCCATGACGAAACCGTTTGGAACCCCATGACCAAAGAAGCAGCTCAGAACGATTTGTTTGCTTACTGTTTGTCCAAGAAGCTTGCTGAAGAGGCCGCATGGAATTTTGTGAAGGAGAATAATGTTAACTTTACATTAAACACTGTCACACCTCCTTACATCTTTGGTCCACAGTTCTTTGATCATGATGCAGCAGCAGAAAAGTTGAACCAATCTTGCCAAGTGATTGCCAATGCCTTGGATTGGAATCCTGACGAGGCTTTTGTCAACAACATACGTACAGGAGCAGCTGTGGATGTCCGTGATGTTGCTGCTTTCCATCTCATCCCATTGGAGAAGCCTGGGGTTGAAGGTCACCGTCTATTCCCAGCTTCTGGTTTGTTTACCGAGCAGGATATCCTGAACATCATCAATGAGAACTTCCCTCAATTGAAGCTTGCAAAAGGTAAACCAGATGACACTGAGAATCCGTTTCGCTACTCAAATGAGAAGACTGTGGAGCTGGTTGGAGGTTACAACTTCATCCCACTAAAGAAGCAAGTTGTTGATACCGTTCAACAAATCTTGGATGCCAGAGCTGCTAAGTAAACTACAACAAAGATATATAAAATAAATCTATAATTGAATTATCAGAAATATATAACAACCATCATGTACAATGCCCATTCTAGAATTGCACTGACTTTTTAAAACGCCTAATCTGTGACAAGGTCTTGTTTGCTAGAACAAATGTAAGCACTACCTGAGCTACAGTGCAGAGACTCTTCATGTCTAAAGAAAACACAACAAGCGGCTCGCAGCTTGCAAAACACTTCTTCATCAACTGGATTGAATCAAATGTCAACATCAACCCACATGCAATGGCCAGACATTGCAGGATAAGCCCAGCTTTCCGATATCCGTCTTCCTGGAGCAAAATTCTCACCTCTGAACGTGAAACAGTCATTTTTTTACACGTTTAATGTCAATACCCTATACATAAGAGATCAATTCACCTGCTAAAGAAGCACAGCACTCTCAGAATAGCAAATAGGATCAGAATAGCAAACACGATAGAAGTACTAATTCTCCCCCAAGGAATTAACTGCATCACCAAGGAAGTCCGTACAATCCATGCGTTCCGCAGATTGGTTCGAGCACTATAACATTGCTTGGGTCTGAAGCACGTGAACATGATATATTTGTCTCCAAAGCAGTAGGATATACTTACGTTATAAACGAGTAAGATGTGGATTGTCGCTACTATCATACATGTCACATGTCCTAACACCAGGATTATTCTTCGGTGTATTGCTGCTCAATACAGATGAAATGATATTTGCAGTGGGACATGTCTAATCCTATTATGAAAGTCATAATGGCACATAATGAATATGGGATTTTAGATGAATCATATCGAATAGTTAAGAATTCAACCAGCTTGTTATTCTCATGCGACATGATTAAAAACGACTGAAGATCTGAGATTTCAAAAGAAGGACCTTGGCGAAGCCCAGCTCATTCTCAAAGATGTAAATGCTGGATCGAGGTGGCTTGCTAACAGACCAATTCTAAAAGGAGACATGCTTGTTTATTCAAAAACTTCACCAATGAAGAGGCACAGTTGGTCCCGCAAACTGTACAATGTTGGATTTCCCGTTTCCTGTTTCAGCAAAAGCAGCAAAAATCCAAGTTACATGTTGGGGAGTTGGGGATTTGTAAAGGACAGGAAATTACTAAAGCTCAATGCATCACCAACCACCAGCATGGATGCCAAATCTCTGACACAATTGTACATCTATAACTGTACATGTTGTTGAAGTTGTGTTTTAAGACCCAATTTTCATGTCTTTTCCTTACAGTGAAGCTGTACAAATTAATTGAACTGTAATATAGATCAAGCTGTAAATCTCTCAACTTCTTCCAGGCTCAAGGCATTCCGAGCTGCTGGTCTATTGCGGTATTTGTTGGTGTTTTGTTTTGTGGGTTTGTTCTCTCAGATTAGTGGAAAGTGGCATCTGTATTTTGGGAAGATGATCAAACCTATAATATTCGTACTAATATCAAGAGTATCGGACGTACTATCAATACTCCCACTTCCCCTTCTATGCTTTCTTCAAGGGAGACCATGATGATCAAAATCCAAAAATATCACAGGAACTGAATGTGATTTCAATAGGCGCAGTAGTACGACGACTTAATGCTAACAGTTGTGTCACATCCTGTCCGAACATCTCACATGGCATCAAGGAATAAGAGAGATCTTTCACATGCACCTTTTGTTCCAGAGGATAAATTCATATTCCTGTCATTGATATAAAGAAAGACCTCTTATGTTATTTCCAGCTTTAATCGCTGGTTCCTGCTGCATGCCATAACTTCGAACTATTGCGCATCGACGCTGTCTGGACGGATCAGTCTGTCAACATTGATACTGCACACACGTAAATGTATTTCACTTGGTATACTCAAAATCACCAACAAACGGAGCGTACCAAGTGAGAAGATACGCTACATCAAATGTATCACTTCATCAGATTATTTAAACTCTAAGACAGTTATAGAGCTCCTCATTGTACCTTGTAAACCTTTTATATGAGGTGGTCAAAGACGGTTTTGGGCGGACTTTTGCAGGATAAGTTTTATTAAAGTTATCATTTCAATATATACTCATGTTACTCATTAGTGGATTTGCGAGTAGTTAGTTTCAGTCAAAGTATTGGGATTGAGTGTCGTTATATAAAGGGCATAGAAGTGGGCAAATTGCTCCCCTTTCAAAGTAGGTCTTGAATGACACTGTGCGATCGACATGACTGGTAAGGAGCAAACACATTATGAATCTAAAAAAAGAGGATGTCCTCCTAAAGAGTGAAATCCAACCAGGATGGTATTTCGAGTCGAAACTATACACCACCGTGTCCTCATATGCTTTTTGTTCCTTTTGTTTTGCAAACTGTCTTGCTTTTGCTATTCGAAACATATGTACAGGATATGTTTCCGCACTCTATTGACACCATTATGTGGCATCAACTATTGGTGTAATTAATGCTATGATCACTTTAGTGTCATCAGTTGTGAAAGAAAGGAATTCTGCTGTCTTTGAACCTCTTCCATTGCTGATGGCTACATTTGTTTTCTACTCTTTTAGAAGTATGATCTAATCCCAGACAGAAGACATTAAGCGTTATTGATCTGGCAATGTTTGCTATTCTATGGATTATCAAGGCGTGCTTTTGACTGTGTTGTTTATTACTTCAGATCTTTCTTCTCTTGATCAAAGCTCTCATATAAAACTTTTATAAGGTTTCCATAGATTATAATCTCTTAGATCTCTGGGATATCACATAATCTGTTGGCGTAATGGATCATTGGTTCTGCGATCTTGGTATATTTTTGACCATTCATTATTCCTTACCATAGTTGTATTTTATTGCTTAAATGATACACCTGAGAAGATCAACAGGAAAGAATAATGAGTGTGAACAAATGATGAAGCTTAACGGAAACAAAACGTGGTGTTTTGAACTGTTTGAAAAAATTCCTGGTTAGACACCACTGGGGTTGTTGTAATCCACAGTCATCATGCGGTGTAAACTTGTTCTATTAACACATGTAAATTGTGTTGATTAACAATGGAAATATGTTAATATGGTTTGTCCATTGGTTCTGGATTTCGCTCTGATTCCATTCTCTATTCTTTATGAGATATAGGTTTCTCGTATCCCCATTACACAGTAGGAGTTGCTTAAAGATCGTATTGTTTTGGTCAGCAATGGCTTTATCGCGTATGACGAACTTCATATGCTTCATAATTATTGACTACTTGTTCACAATCTTCTGTGTCAATAAATCTGTTAAACCTGAAACTACAATCGGTCAATCTTGCCACGTTTGTCTCCATTGTATGGGGTCCATTATTCGGGTAGACTGCGGTTATTATGAAAGGGACAGAGATCTTCATCATTATTGAGTACTCTATGTAGATTAGGTCAAGTGGGCTTGTATATCACTTCAAAGAATTTTGCTATTATCATTATAATTGCGTATACTTTAATGAGTAATTGAATTTCAACTGGTAACACAGTGCTTGGAGCCATTTGGACATTCCAGTTACCTTATAGATTGATTAAAGACCTCAAGAAGGTAATGTTAGCTTACGAGTTGAAGAACCATACACCATCACAGCGATGTATTCTCCGGGAATACCAAATAGAAAGGCGCTGATTATCTCATCTTGTTAAATAAGGATACTGGCGACTACAGTTGTACTGCACATATGTTATTTGCCTTTGCCTTTATAGCAAGAGACTCCTAAACTTATCGATGATATTGATTACAGAGCAGGCTTGAGTACTGATGAAGAGATCTTTGCCATTGATAGCGACTTGATCACCAGTGGACTTGCAAAAGTTTCCTGGTGCTGACAATGACAGTGAAGATAGTCCAGAGATAACCCCAGAGGCGATCTCATCTCTCTCACTCGACAGGCATCCAGACTGGAAGTGTAATTGCAATGGGTCGTGATGAGAACTCAAATTCAACTTCGCAAAAGTACATATCTTTTATCCACGTCTTCCTATGTTTGTCACCAGTGAGCT